CAACACCTACTGTGTGTCGGGCCTTATCCTAAAGGCTTTATTTATACCATTCTTGCATTTAATCCTCTCAGCAGCCTCTTGAGGTGAATATTGTTTTTCCATTTACATGGAATTAGTTGAGGCTCCAAGAGTAATTTACTCAAAGTCACACAACCAGTCACTAGAACCAAACTGAACCTGGGTGAGTTGGACTAAAAGCCCTATGCTCTTCAACCACTCACCGTACTGCCTTTTCAGTCCTCACCCCGAGGTCTGATGTTGAGGGGATTTGGAAGACAGTTCAGCACATGCAAATCTCTCAGCCCTTTAGTTTCCAGGCTTCTAGCTGCATGATAGAGATTGTTCTCAGAAAGATCTTGCCCAGCTGAGCCTGGCACACACTTGGTGCTCTATAAATTAAGTCCTCCTTAAACTGGAATGCATTTATGCCTCTTAAACACGGCTGCCCCAGTGTCTTTTCTCAAATGCATGGGTCTGTTCTCCATTCTTAATAAGTCAGCTCAGAGATTTCTGTTTCTCCTCTTTCTTTCTCTTGTTGCCCTTTAGGACCCTCTGGCCTGGGACAGACCAGAGGATAGTCATGGACCATCCAGATGCACTAATTGCTAAATGTTTTCTGACAGCCTCAGAAAACAGCACCACAAGCCTGGCTGAGTGATGAGGGGGGTGTCACATAGCCTTGGATGTTTGCATTGTACCTAAGGAGAAAAGAGGCTTTCATAGTGAAAGGATTCCTGCCAAAATCCTGTTTGCCACTTGCAGCTCTTATAGAAAATGGGCATAAAATCACAGAGCATTAGTGCCAAGAGGGCCAGCAGAAACCATCTGGTGTAAGTTCCTGAAGCCCAGAGATGGGGAGTGACTTCACTAAGGCTGCAGAGCTTGTTAGCTTTATCTCAGTCCATTGGTAAACCCCTGGAAGAGATGCTCTAGGCTCTGAAGGGAGCTGGGAATCCTAATCACACCCCTCAGACACTTGCTGACTTACCTTGCATTTCTATTGCATGATTTACATCAAGCAAAGGAAACCCTGTTAATCAGATCTCCCTTCAAGAGACTTCCTACTTGGGTATTGCTGTTTGGCTACTTCAAAATGACAGAAGAGAAGAAAGCAAAAGCATATGTCACACAACTCAGTCCATTCAGTGATATTCTCTCGAGATGTGGGTGTCACCGAGTTGGCAGTGAAATAAGAACAGATGTGGAGGACTAGTGGCAGTGGGGTTAGGTGTTTTGTGTAGTTTCTGAGTACCTGGGAAGCCGGATCCTGTGTGGACCAGTGACCTAATCATAGGAACCTTTGCCTGCACTGTCATCAGGGCTCATGAACTGCTTTTTACCCTGCAAAATTCCTCTTCCTCATCCATTCAGGTATAAGAAGTAAAAATAGTGAAGAGAGTAGGCTTTGTTTCAGATTATATAAAGTCTTGATCAGAAAGTCCATAGAAACGGGATTTTCTGAAGACTCAGTGTTTAAAAATTTGAAGCAGTGAGAAAACTGAGAACCAAAGAGGAAAGAATATATTTTGGTTGCAGGTGATAAGAACCTAACTTCAAAGAGCAAAACTAAGTGGAGGTTTTATTAGAAACATATAGTGAGCTGTCTAACAGAATCAAAGAAAAAGGTGACCAGCCAAACCTCAAGAAGCCAGAATCAAGGCCAGGAAAGCCACAGGACCCATTATGTCATCTTATGTCTGTGCTTCTCTCTGCATGATGAGCTTGTTCTGTCTTACAACAGACTGGCATTCTCTACCTGGGTTGAGGTTAGGCCATCAGTTTTACAGCACACATCCTCATGTATTTGCCAGTCAAAAGGAAAGAAAATCGCTACAGTTACAAAAAAAAGAAAATCCTGGGGGAGCGTATAGCTCAGGGAAAGAGTGCATGCTTAGCATGTGCGAGGTCCTGGGTTCAATCCCCAGTACTGCCATTAAAAATAAATAAACATCCCCCCAACTTAAAAAAATCATTAAAAATAAATAAACCTAATAACCAACCCCCCTAAAATTAAAAAAAAGAAAAAGAAAAAAAATCTGTCAGAAAAAAAAATCAGTGTCCTAGGAAGGATTTGGATCGGCTCCACTTGATCACATGCTCCCTTTACTGACAGTCCTCACTAGAATCACCTGTTTTAGATGAAGAATTAGTAGTACTACAAAAGAAGAGGTTGCTATTTCCAGAAGATATGAGGGGAGCTGGCCATTAAAAGTAATGATTTACCAGAGGTCCCACAGCAAGTGAGGGACAGATTCAGGGCTAGAAACAGAACTGATAAAATAATAATTATGAATAATAATGGAAGTCTCTAGATTCTTTTCATGTGTGGTATTGAAGTAAACTTCAGTGCTACTGAGCTGCTCAATCATTTATACATTTAAAAGATTGCTGTTGTGTGGAAGATAGACTGTAGGTGAGCAAGTGTGGAGCAGGAAAACTAGTTATGAGCCCTGTGGTACCTCATAGGTAGGGGAGAAACAATGGTGGCCTGGACCAAGGTCATGGCAATAGAAATGGAGAAAAGTTGGCAGACTTGAGATAGATTTTAGAAGTAGAGTCATAGGACTTGTTGTTGGATTAGGTGTGAACACGAAGAGAAAGAAAAGCAGAGAATTAAGAATGATACTGAGATTTCTGTGAAGACTGGAGTTAAAGTTGTAGAAGAATCAAGAGTTCCAATGCGGCTGTGTTAAGTTTGAGACATGGAGATGTCTAGTAGGCACTTGTATATACATGTTATTACCAAAGATATGGCATCTAAAGCATATGGACTAGACGAGGTCTTGAAGGAAGGAAGTATAGCTAGAGCAGAGGACCCAAATGTCCTTTTAGCCATCTCTTCTGCATATACTGAATCCAGCCAGGAACTTCAAAGGGGAATCCCAACCATTATTACAGTGAATCCTATGGAATAAGAAGCCAAACTCATCCCTCAGAGGGTAGCTAAGAAGTAATCAGGTAAGCTATTAAGCAAGCATCAAAACTCCATGAGCTATGTCTTGATTAGACCCTTTGGACAACTAGACAAATGATGAGACTGCCCTGCTGTAAGCCATTGTGACACTTCTCTTTGAGATTATCTTCAGAATCAGGCTTTAGGACCCAGGGAAATCTACTAGACTTGGTTTCAGATACTTAGGGTTGCTTCCTTTGGTGGACTGAAACATGGCCACAGTATTTTACAGCTCCTCCTATCAGGAGATGGCATCTATTTCTCTACTCTTTATAGTAGGTGTGGCCATTTGACTTGGGTTAGTCATTTAGATATTAGCAAACGTGATACAAACAGAAGCTTGGAAAGTGCTTCTGCATTGGAAAACTTCAACCACCAGGTGAGCAAGTCTGGGCAGCCTTCTGGAGAATAAGAGTATGGAGAGAGACTTCACCCACCATAGTCACATCAGCTGGGACCCCAGACGTGTGAATGAAGCCATTCTAGACCATCTAGCTTTGGCCAGAGAAACTACCCAACCAATGTGTAGAATCATGAATAATAATGAGTGTTTGTGGCTTTAAATCACTACATTTTAGAATGGCTTGTTGTGTCCCTCAGAGGACAAGTAACTCTGAACCAGGAATCTAAAGATGTTTCACAGGTACAGATACCCTTTCTCTAACCTTTACTCTTTTTGGAGGATTTGTGTTTAATCAGCCATCAGCAGTCTGAACTACAAGATGAAAGCTTCACTGAGAAATGTAAAGCAATGGTCAATGGGTACTGGAGGTATTCGGGGGCAGTGGAGTCTCCCTCGGGCCCCTGAAACAGCTCCACAAAGGTGATTCAGGTTTCCCAGTTTTGTGTTCTCATAGAATGATGTATCGTTCCTTCAGAGCACTTTGTAATTGTATTGGGTGATTATTTTACAATGTCTAGACTAAACTGCAAGCTATTAGACTATAAGCTTCATGAAGGCAAGGATTGTATCTAATTTGCCATCGATTGTATCTGGGCACATATTAGACACTAATTTGTTGAATGAATAAATTTGAATTTTGCCAACTTCATGTAAGGGATCCAGGCCTTCAAAAACATCACTTAACAACATTTGTATCCAGTGGGCCTGTTACCGGGAGAAGGGAAATAACAATTAACTCCGTTATACTCCCAAGAATTGGGAGCGGACCAATCCAAGAGAGGAAAAAATGGTGCCATTCCTTTGTTTTTCCTGTTTTTATACGCTGGTTTTGTGATTGATTGACAACTCAGGTTCCCTGCGCTCTGGCACGCCCATCCCCTTTTGGGCAGGTTCATTGGGTCAAGTTATACCAGGTCCCCCTCCCATGCACAGCTGCAGCGCTTTGATTTTAACTGGCTTCTTTTACTGGCCCTCATTCAAAGAAAGTAAAAATTCCTGGAGTCCCTTTTCCTGAATGCAGACACACTGCCATTTTCTGGGTTGTTCTTTCCCCTTCCTCTCCCCCCGCCCAGTGCTCATTTCTATCTAAACTACCTAACAAGGCCTATCTCTTGTAGGCACTCCCAGTCATAGGCTGTTGCTTGATTCTCTAGCTGTATAGGTAATCAGGTGTAGGTATGGGATGGGGAATCTGAAATTAGTGAGATCCCAGGACACTCACTGCTGTAATTTCTTCTAATTATACCAAACAGTTGGTAAACATACTTAAATAAACATTTCTCAAAGGAGGAGGGTATAGCTCAGTGGTAGAGTATTTGCTTAGCAAGCATGAGGTCCTGGGTTCAATCCCCAATATCGCCATTAAAAAAATAAAACCTAATTACCTACCCCCCACACACAAAAAGAAAGTATACAGTGCTGCACTGTATGTCAGTTATATCTCAATAAAACTAGAAGGAAAAAAATGAAAAATTATTTTAAAAATTAACATTCCTCAAGACACTGTTGGAAACTTGATACCTAAGCAAGGAGCTTTGGGGCAGGAGCAGGCAGTGTAAAGTGGGAAGGTCAGGTCTGGGGGATGTTCATTTCATTCTGTGGCCCTTACAAGGCTGCAGTCACAAAACAATTTTAAAACCAATGTCCCAAATGAAGCTATTTAATTAATTCTGACAATCCTTGGAAGTCTGTCACTATCAACACCCCAAACACACAATCTGAAGAAGAATATTGAAAGAGCAGGAGTCAGACAGGAGAGTTCAACTGATACAGTGAGCGACTTAGGCATGTTAACTTTTTCAAGGCTATGTTTCCTTGACTGCCAAGTTGGGATAATAATATTTCCGAAACACACCTCCATTAGACTGTAGGTACCTGTAGGCAGGGATTATTTGCTCTCACATATATTTACTCAGTGTTCAATAGTGCCAGAACCATATTAGATACAGAATAGGTGAATTGCTTCCTAGAGGTGATCCAGAACCTAGTCCTGGTTCCATCACTAATCTACTCTCAGAATGACCTTAGGAAATTTCTTCCCTCTCCCTGGAATTCAACCTTCCTTTTGGAAAAGATTTTCTCTAAGTTCCCTTCCAGATCTAATATGTAATGAATCTGTGACCATTCAGTACACTCTACCCCATTGCTGCTCCTAGTAGTTAATGATGCTACAGAAGGAGGAGATAGTAATGTCAGGAATCACTTTGTATTTACACACATGCATTTAAAACAGATTCTGTAAATAGCCACAATACTGTGTTGCACTTTTGGCCTACTTTTGCCTTTTTAGAGGTCAAGAGGTTTTTTTTCTAAATTGTCTTTTATTTGGATTGTTAAGCAGGATGAAAACTGGGACGAGTTGCCACTAACACATATTATGCAGCTTGAACCTTGGTGGCTAATTGCACTATTACCATGATTGATGAACATTCACGGCAATCAGCTGGAAGCTGCTGCCTTCCACTCAGCAGAAATGAGGTCGCAGAGCAGGACTGGGGAATTGCCATCTAACAAGCAAGCCTGCTTGTTGCCCACTATTACATTTAACTCTTGATTCCATCTGTTGTGAAGATGCTTATTCCCTTGAAATGGCTCTTAAGTTTTAAAGAATTTTTAAGTAAAAATTTCAATCTTTGCCTGAATACTCGGTAGTGGAGAAAAGATTATTGGATATATGTACTAAAATATCCAGAGGTCATAAGGGGCTTGGTCTGAAATCCTAGTACTGAGATAGATGGGTGTTACTGCTGAGAAAAATAGTAATTATCCCTGACATATATGGAACATTACAGTGTAAAAAGCACACCTGGAACCACTGCCTGGGAAGGGACCACATTCTTCCATGGTCAGAAAACTTAATTAAGTTATACCCCCATGATGCCCCATTGCTGACGCAGGGACGTTGCTCCTTCAAGCACCGCTTGTGAGCTTTGATAAGAATTGCCTGACAGAGGCAGGTACAGGGAAAGCCAGCACTTGGGCCCGAGAAATACTGGGAAATTTTTGCTCAGGCCCGTGGCACCTGGTTGCCTCAGAAACTCCTTCCCAGAAGCATTAGACACCCATCACCTCAGATTAGTCTGAATAGTTGATAAATTAACAGATTGGAGACTTAAAGTCTTTTCTCCAGTGGATGTGGAAGCTGATGGTCTGGGATTGAATGCTATAGTGACTCTAACACTCACTAGTTGTGTGATCTTGGCCAAGTCTCTTAACCTTTTTGGATCAGTTTATCCATAAGAGATGTGGTACAGAATGTAGTGAAGAGCACAGACCCTGGAGCCTACTGACTGGGTTTGAACTCCAGCTCTACCATCCACTCATTAGGTGATCTTAGGCAAACTAGAGAACCTCTTTGTTCCTTCCTTTCCATGTCTTTAAATGAGGATGATTATAGTGCCTCCCTCACAAAGATGTTGGAAAGATAAATGAGTTAATACGTGTTAAGTGCTGGTAACAATGCCTGGTACTGAGTAAGCATGATGTCTGTGTTCACTACGATGGTATTGGGGTGATAATCCTCTTCTTGAGTTTATTTTGCAGATCAACTGAAATGATGAGGGTGAAAAAAAGTCTCAGTTATTAGTGCCAGAAGGGACCTAAAAGATTATCCAAATAGCCTCCCTCCTGCACCTCACCTGCTCCGCTCATTTTGTAAGGAAAATCAAGACTCAGTCATGGGGAGTAACTGGTCCATAGACACAACTGACTTAAGGGCAGAGTCTGAGTCTCCTGATTCCAAGCCCAAAGCTCCGTCCTCCGCACTGCACCATAGAAGGCAACATCTCCATAGAGCTGACTCTGAAGGGTCCCTTTATGTAGTCGTTGGACCTGTTGATTGTTGACGCACTTTCCTAGGACAGTGAGCTGCATTGAAATGGAGAGAAAACCTGGGACTCTCCTTCCTTCCCCACTGACTTTTGAAGTAGCATGTTAGTGCAGGGGGAAGCTGGGGATTTGAGCCAGGGCTGGGAGGAAAGAGTTCCAGGAATCACTGCTAGCTCCATGTCATTATTTCAGTTAAAAACCAAACATGTGCCTGTATCCAAACAAGCTAGAATCATGAGCTAATGCATTCAGCTTGTTTCTTGTATCAAAGGGTCTTTTTGTCTTTTGCCTTCTTTGGGTGTTTAGTTTAGTGCCTTCCACCAGAAGTGGTTTCACATTTGCTTTGGTAGAAACTAAGGTAGAAACTTTCTACTAAGTTAGGCTTGGGACCTCTGAGTTCACATTTCCCAATTTTTTCAGGGTCATGCCCCCTTAGATTTATTCTGCTTTGAATTGTATTTCCCAGTTGGATTACTTAGGAGTGAGTGAAAGATGGGTTCATGAAAGAGAAGACCCTATGAAGAATGGCAGGTGGGATTAGAAATCTATTTGACTTAGAGAAAGGGCAGATTCCAGGGGTCATGATCTCTGTTCTCAAACCATCTAAGGTGTCACAGGGCAGAAGGGCAGAGACTGTGAAGTCTCTGACAGCAAAGCTGGCACAAGTGGGGTGGGAAAAGGAAGAAGAATTTCCAGGAGGCAGATTTCAGCTTAAAGAAAGGAAAATTTTCTGATTTTGAGAGCTGCCCAAAGATGTATGTGGAAAATGAGCTCCCATCCCTGCCTAGAAGGTAAGCTTTAGAAGAAAGAGATTTGGCTGTGAGGCTTGACAGCCACTTGTCAGAAATATGAAGATTGGAATTGACTAGTGAGACGTGGTAAAATTTGGGACCCCACCAATTGTAAATTTTTCAGATTCCTGGAGTCTAAGAACCGATGACCTATGGCATGGAGTTCCCACAGTTAAGAACCAGCTGGAAAGCAGCAAAATCAGAAATTTGTGACCTGTTTCTTTATCGTGCCTGTGTTTTTCTCCTTTTTTCTCTTTGTCTTCCTTGAGCTCACTCGCTCTTTTATACAACAGGAATCTTTGATATTTTTCAGGGGATAATCTTTTTATTTTAAATGTGTTTCTGACTCAGCCTTTGCTCCTTCAGCATCATTTAGACTCTGAGCTCTCTGGAGATTAGCTCTGGCCTGTCACCACAGCAACTGCCCCAGGCAATGTGGGCATCCGTGGTAACAGGCGAGGGCTTCGAGAGACAAGGCTTGACTAGTGGTGAGATGAAGGCCCCTAGGGAGCCTGACAGGAAACAAGCACGTTGGTATCGAGAGGTCTTCTTTAAGTGAATTAGCAATATGGGTGGGTCTCATTTTAAACAGTTGGCCGGGCCCTGAAAAGTGTGTGTGCGGGTGTCAAATTTTGGTCAATGGAGGAAATTTTATTTTAAAGGCAGAAAAGAGACTCGCCTTTCTATGTGCCAGTAGTGAATCCCTTTGGTAGAGTGGAGACTCCTTTTGTAAAACGAATCTCCACTCACGTTGTGACCTGGCTGTTAGTCTAGTGCTGAGTGTCTGTAAGTGGGGCCGTCTGCAGAGAACCCCGGGGCCGTGCTTCCACCTCCGCTGCAGGCAAATAGCAGCAGCAACTCGGCTGCGGGTGGGCAGAGTAACAGGGAAGCAGGGTGGGTGTGGGGCCGCAGTGAAGGGAGGTCAGGGAGGTGGGCCTTGCTTAGCACGAGCAGTTCTGCTGCAGCAGCGGCGGGGTGTCGGAGAGGCGGGTGTTCTTGGAGGTGCCCAGCACAGAGGGGTCCGTGTCCAGCGTATCCGACATCTTGTCACAAATGGCATCCACCAGGCGCTCGAAGGCCTGCCTAACACTGATGTTCTCCTTGGCGCTGGCTTCAAAGAAGTCAAACCCTGAGGGTAGAAGAGAGATTCCAGTAAAGATTTTTCCCTTCCCTTCAACGCCCCCTGGCCAGAATATTCTGGATTAATATAGCCAGTGCTCCGGAGTGAAGCAAGGAGGCCCAATTCCAAAGGATTCTGCTGCAAGGAGACAGTACAGGGCAGGGATTACCAGCACTGTTTTTTTGCTTTGTTTTGGTTTTTAAGTCAGATAGATTCTGGCTCTATCATTGACTAGTGTTATAAGCCCCGGCAAGCCACCTATTTTCTTTATGAATCAATTCCCTGGTTTATAAATTGGGATAATTTTACCTATCTCATAGAATTATTTTAAGGATTAAATACGATAATGCACTGTAAAGTGTACAGCCCTGTGCCTGACCCAGGGCTGGGCAGTGGGGCGGTAATTAGGTGTTCTGAAAGAGTGAATACTTCACTATGTGTACACAGCACTTCACAGTTTCTAGAGCATGGATCACACCCATTATCTCTTCTGATCCTCATGTCACCCCCAGGGGAAGGAGGGTCCAGGCAGACCTGCTCCAGCTCCATTTCACTAATCCTGACACTGTGGCTCAGAGAAATAAACTGACTTGCTGTCACCGGTATGAGAAGACCAAGCTTTGACCTTTTTGACCAGGGCTTTCCCTCCTTTTTCCCCTACCTCCCACTCTCCCCAGACTGTCCAGCTCTAGTCTGGGCTCTGGAAGGCACCCCAAGATCCCTGCTGAATAAACAAAGCTTCATTTGCTCTTTCCACCCACAGACACACTGGCTCATCTCCACTCAGTGGGGTTCCTCCTCCCTGAATTTCCAAGAATTACCCTGGATCTCTCCCTCCCCACACAAACCCAACAACTGGCCTGGGAAAAACGGTGTCTGAAGCGTGAGACATTCTTACGTGTTTTGCACCTTGAGATCCTTAAAGATCCTTTCTGTGACAATGAACAGAAATTGGCTGTCCCAGGAGACAAGAAAGACCCTCCTGATTCAGACAAAGCAGCTGCTTCCCAACTGAGGAGTCCTGGCCGGGTTGGTGGCAGCCCTTAGAAGCATAAGCCGACTTCTCCATCACGTCCTTGCCCCAGCCTACTGCCTCCTCTTTTGTCTGTCCACCTTCCTTCTGAGTCCAACTTTAATTCTCCTCTAAAGTGTCTCTCTTCCCTTTATTTCACTTTAGCTCCTTCTTTTTCCTGTATGTTCCTCATACTTCTTGGGCTCCCTATTTATTGAGCACCTACTATAAGCCAGATGCTATGCTAGGAGCTTTACAAATATTGTCTTACTTAACCCTCACAACAGCTTGTGGGGTGAATATAATCCTCTCCAATTTATGAATGAGAAAAATGAAGGTTCCAAGAGATTACACAACTCATACCAGGTCACGTGGCTGTGGAAACTGCATTTAGATCTGGGTTTGGCTGGCTCCCACGTCCATGGGATACAGCCCTGCCTACCATTTCTTCCTCTTTCTCCCTTTCACTTTCCTCACCCCCCTCCCCGCCGCCGCCATTATATCTTTTTTCTTCCTTTGCAAGTCTCTTTGGCCTCCTTTGCTTTTATCTGACTACCCCAGTGTCTGAATCTAGGCAAGTCATTCACCTTTCTGAATCACTTAACTTCTCTGAGTCACAGACTCCTTGTTTGTCAAATAGGAGTAATAACAGCGTCTTTCTGCTGAGAACGGTTGGGAGGATTCAGCGAGGCGATGGGTACATTTCTATAAGAAAGTTGCCTGTTATAATGATAGTTTCTTCCTGCTCTTTTTGTTTCATCTGCTCCTCTCACCTCCTCTTCATCCCCTTCTCCCTCTTTTATCATCTTCTCCCACAAAGAAGGGGTCTCTTTCCTCTACTCCCCTTCTCCCTATTACCCCACTGTCCACAGAGAGGGCTAAAGCCCCCAGGTACAAACAGGGCTCCTCTTCCCCAGCCCTCCCGGCTTGGAGGCACTCACAATTGCTGCCAGCCAACCTCTGGTTGACAGCCCATCCCGTGGCCCATTTCTCCATCTGAGAAAGGCAAAGTGCAGAAGTGTCTGCTATTGAGGACATGTGAAGGAGGCGGCTGCTGGCTCATTATCCTTAGGCCATAGAAGCCCATTTGGCTTTAGAGACCCTCCAGCATGTAGCTTTTCTTTAATGAATATCATAAAAATGGACTCTCTGGCCTTTGACTGTCTTATTACAAGTGAGAGTGTTTGGGGAAGTGGGCGGACTATGTTGCTTGCCTGGGAAAGGGGCAAACAGGTAAAGAAGTAAATAGGCATAAACCATCAGTTTGGATGAAGATGGGGACACAGGCTAAGGCCAGGGGCACAAATCCCTTCTGAGGAATTGGCACTGAGTGGAGGACATGGACTGTGGCACAAGTGGGCGGTGGGAAGAGGCACAGGAGTCAGACAGCCTAGGTTTGAATGCAGTCTGTCAGCTACTAGCTGTGGGACATCAGGCAAATTGGCTGATCTCTCCTAGCCTCTGTTTCCTCATCTGCAGAATGGGATGACTATTACCTACCTCATAGTATGGTAATAAGAATTAAATGCACAAAAGCATGTGAAGTGATTGACATAAGGAATATGTGGCAAACCGTTTCCCTTATGTTCCCAACCCACCTGAGTCCTAGCTTCCTTGCCCCACCAATGTTCCCCAGGGCCTTTGGGGAAAGCCTCTTTTTCTTCATCATTCAGGGTCAATCAGTAAGCCAGGTCTTTAATGAACACTGACTTTGTGCCAGGTCTTGCACTGAGTGCCAGGGACAAGGGAAGATCAAATCTAATTGTGGAGAAAAGACACAGTAATCAGAGTGCCAGTCTCACACATGTGCATAGTCCTTAACAGTTCACAAATACAATTTTAATACAATTTTAACTTTATGAGGTGGGGATGGAGTGGGGTGAGGCAAGGGTTATCATTTGTAATTTACAGACAGGGAAACCGAGGCTTAGGGATGGGGCATAAGCCAGGGCTCTGTCCCATTATGCCTCCTTGTCTCGCTCTCAGTTGGAACAGTGACAGAACACACTATAACCCAGGTAGAGCAAACCAGGGGCTGTGCAATAATGCAATGGAGGGAGAGAATGGCAAGGAGACAGGAGTAGAGGATTCCAAAAGTTAGTGGAGATGGGCGACTTTAAGGCCAGAACTGAGCAAAACACCTCATCTAACTAAATTCTCATTCTTCAGGACTCAGCTTAGATACAGCTTCTTCATCCTCCTCCATGCCTCCCTCTGCCATAGCATGTGTTACCCTGAATGGTGGAAGTCCATCTGACAAGGAGCTCCCCAGGCAGGGACCATGTCATTCTTCTGAGCTCCAGCATCAGCCAGAGGAGTAGGTGCCTGGTGTTAACTGAATGAATAGATAAATAAAGGAGGTGGGAATGAACATGGAGGGTGTCGTTGAGGGGCTGTGGACATTGGGGGTCATGAGAGCTCAGCTCAACAAGCATAATAAACCCCATGCGGGGCACACACAGTTCTTACCCTTGAGGAACTCCTAGTCTACTGTGGGAGATAGACACATTGACAATATTAGAGTGATAAATGCTGGAAGGGTGGGGAGTGAGGGGATCATCATAGCAAATAGAAGGTGCCTGAGCCTGGGGGCCAGGGAAGCTGATTCCTAAGCAGATATTAGCTAGAGAAAGACATGTGGCTGTGAGAGTTTGTGTGAGCATGTGCATGTGTAGCACACCAGGCAGGGGAACAGCATGAACACATATAAGGAGGTGAAAAACAGCCTTGGTAAATCCCGGAATGACCATAGCAGTTTGTTATCATTAGAGCAGAAAGCTCAGAGTGGTGAGAGGAGAGACAGGAAGTGGCCAAACATGGAGAACTCAGCTCGTATGTCATGCCAGGGAGATGTCGTCATTGTTATCTCAAAGGCACCCAAGGTATGAGAACTCTGACTCAGGTAACCAGCTCGTGGCCCTAGCCAGCTCAATGGCCTCTCTTACTAGCAGAACAAGCCAACATGCACCTCCACCCAATTACTGTCAGACTCCTCGAAGACTCTTCATTAGTAGCCCCAGATGGTAACCTTTCCCTCAGGTTCATTAGTAAGGAATCTCAGAAACTGAGACTCTAGTGTGGTCTGGAAGATGACAACCAATTAATCAGACTGGCCCCAGACTGGCTTCAGATCAATGGGATTTCTGCTCTCTGTAATAGGGCTCAATACTTTGACTGAATCTGAGATGGTTCTCACCTTCCAATGCTCGTGTTTACCTATTCTGTCCAAAGACAGCTGTCACAGCCCCCTACTGTGTCCACACTGCCTGCTTCTGAATTTGATCTCAGAATTCTATTCAGAAACACACAGCTAAGTTCACCTCTCCTCATCCTGACACTGCTAACAAAACATTTCTCCTCTACTTTTACGTTCAAATCCTTTCTCTGTCCTGCTCTGAAACCTCCTCATCTGCATCTAGTGTCATCTTCAACACCAGCCCTTCTGGTCACTGATGATTTTGGCAAGGGATTTGCTGTCTTCCTTTCCACCGAGGCTTGCACTCATTCTCAGAAACTTTGGGTTTCATGTGAACAATCTATCCAACACCCCTGGCTCTTAGTCTCTTACTCATCTCATTTCTAGGAACTGTCTCTTCCATTTGCTTCTTCTATGCACCTGTCCTTATAACTTGAGCTATTTTGACTTGGATTTTGTGTCATTGGAACTGAGAGAGGTCTGATTAATGCAACACCCAGCCTCATTGGCTTAACATCCAAGATCCTGCATGGCTCAGCCTGTCTACTTCCCCAGCCTCATCTTCCTGGCTCACACTATGCTCCAGAAATATCAACACCTTTTTATTTGGTGCCTTGCTCATGCTGTTGCTCTCTCCTCCTAATCCTACTCATCTTCATTACTCACTTGTGGAATCACCGATTCCAGAGAGCCTTCCCTTTCTCTTCCCACCCCATCTCCACCACTCAGAATAAACAGTGTAACTCTTCCCGGATGTCCATGGCGCCTTACAGAATTGTTTCAGCCAGATTCCAACAGGAA